GGCCGATTCTGTACAGAAACTCCCAGGGATTTTTGTTTTGTTTTTTTTTTTTTCCTTTCCTCCTATCATGAAAAAAAATCGCCTGAGGTTTTTTTATATTAAAGGGCGGAGTTGAGCTGTCAAAAAAGTGTCAATCAGCGCTTTTGAAGTTCGAATTTCCTCCTCCCAAATTTTCGGAGAAAATTCTACTTATTCTAATTATTGGAGGATTTATTTCTCGGGAGAAATAAATTCCCAGAGAAAAAACTCCCCGGGAGTATTTAGAATTGGGCTGTATAAGTTTATATCATTACCTTGATTCATAGAGGCCCTAACCAACACTTTTTTCGAAACTGCGTTTTCACAGATTTCGGTAGGATATATTTAAATTCAATAAACTAAAAAATTCTAGTCTTAGTACCAGAAACAACGTAGTTACATGCCACTTTTTAAAAACCTGACCTGTTTTTGTTTTACTTTTTGTTTTTGCTTCTCCTGTAAAATTAAAAATTTGTTGGTTAGGGCCTTTGTGAATTAAGGTAACGATATGTATGTAAAAGCTTAAACAGACGGCAGTGTTGATCCGGATCAACTTGGGAATTAACTGCAGTTGATTCGGATTAAGTGCGAGTTAATCCGGATCAACGCTGCCGTCTGTTTAAGCTTTAAGTAGTGCAGAGTGGAAGACCGCTGGACTCTCAGGAAGGGCTTTTTGCTCCTGAAATTACCTATAGGGGCCGAGTCTAGACGAGTAGCAGTTAAGTCGGCTAGAATATCCTGACCGTAATAGGGCCAGAGTAGCGTGGGTCTCTCGTGGTAGTCGAAACTCAGAGTGGAGATCTGGCTTCGATCACGGAATTTATGGGTCCAAAGTCGTGGTAGCTGGTGACTGACTCTCTATTAATACCGTTGATCACTAGTCAGTACGTTGGTGGGTCCAGTGATTGGTCGATCCATGTACTCGAAAATATGCCTTCTAACGTGACAAGTCTGGAGCTTCGTCCACAAAGTCCCCGGCGACCAAAGTTTAGAATCGGCCGCCCAATCGCCTTGTATGTTACTAGCAACGTTTCTCTGTATTTTTCCCCCAGTACTGGCGGCTAGTGACAGGAGGACCTTGTTGCGGCTCTATACTTTCTTGACAACTGCGGTTGTGTGCGCGCAGAAGGAAAGCAGGCTATCAAAAGTAGCCCCTAAATTATTCGGGTTGTTCACCGTCGGATCTGATCTCCCTCGCTCAGGTAGTGAAGAGGGTCGCCATTGATTTCATTAGGGAGAGGGCTATACTCCTTGCAGTAAACCGAGAAAGTTCGGAGAACAGTCGCCAGTGTATGAGATCAGGGAAATTCCCTACGGTGGCCTTCGAATCTTCGAAATATTAAAGTTAAACAATAGGGGGATAGGACAGCAACCTGTTAATGCCTTGCTTAATTCTTCTAGCTTTTGAAATTTGACGAAAGGTTTTCCTGTTGCGGTTGACAGGGGGATGGCAGGTGCGGTTGCGGTTAAGGTTGAGTGATTATGGATTTAACTGTTGTTGTCGTGGTGTGCACTTTACGGAAACCATGCTGATGCTTCGCTGGGGTAGGTGGTAGGATTAGCAGGACCCCAAGTATCTTTATAACCGGGGAAAGGAGGACGATAAGATTCTCCTTTGAGTAACTGGTATAGGTCGTAGCTCTAGTCGAATAATTCTCGAAACTTCTTTGAAGATTGAAACACCCTGAAATCCTTAGCTTGTTCATAAAAAAGGTACTTGTGCAAAGCTTTGCTTAGCGAATAACTTATAAAAAAATTTGTTAGTTATTGACAAGTATGCAAATGATTTGTATGAGCCACTTGAGAATTTCATAATGTTAGAAATCTTTAAAAAAAAAAAAGCTTGATAAATTCTTCGACCAGGCATACGGCCTGTACCCGGAAAATAGAAAGATCGCACTTTTATCTAGATGCTGTTCCACCTGGTTATCGTAATAAATGTGTTTGAAATAAAAATAATAAAAACAACAAGACAAGTATTTGAAATATATAAAAAGAAATAAAAAGCATAACTAAAATAAAAAAAAAATAAATAACAAGAAAATTAGAAGAAAACAAATAAAACTTCGATTATGTCAAGAACCTAATCAAATAAAATTAAACTCAAAATGTGTTTTTCATTTATTTTTTACTTAAACTCAATTACCATTACTACAGCAATACATTGTATTATTTAACTCTAAAAACTTTTAAATAAACGCAATATAACTTAAATAAGCAATAAAACGTAAATATGTAAATACATATAAATTTTTTGTGGTAAGATGAAATAAAGAAAATTATAACAGAACCGACACAGTGGGCTGAAATGGTTTGTTTTGTTTTTATAATTATGCTTAACTTTTTAGCTCATAAACTTCACTCACATGGACAGATACATTTTTTATTACACTTTTCATAATTATTTCATGTACTAAGTTTTGCTTTTTACAGCTGCACCACACACTATGCCTGGTTTGTTAGAAAAAAAACATTTCATTTACGTACAGACTTATAAGCTGGTTCAAAACAATATTTTTCACGATTTACAAATTAACGCCTTAAGCATTTTAAAAATGTTAGCTTTAGTGCGTTATTGCTTGGCTGCTCACCTTTTTTTTATGTACAATTAATGCAGCAATAATTAATTTCAAATTAAAAATAAATGGATTGAAATAACTTAAATTTTTAAAAGGAAAATAGTGGTGACTATAACAGTAATCCAACGAAGTCCGATTTTTCGTGACATCTACGAAGATGGCTATGAACGTCTGCATTCAAAGTATAGACTACGTTCGTGGCTATTAGATTTCAATGATACGATTTCACGAAAAATCGGACTTCGATGGATTCTGTGATAGCCTTGAGTATGTTTTACAATTTCTTGCAAACTTACTTGCATAATAGAGCGGCGCATAAAAATATACTTACAAACAAAAAATAAATATATAAGCTTGTGATTATATGTATGTATATACACCTGCGGTAAAAAAAAAACAAAAAACACCTTAGCATTTTGACTAGTTTTGACTATTTTTTTTTTTTTGTTTATTTAATGCTTGTTAATTTTTTATAAAAGTCTGGCTCATTATATAACATACACCATATAAAAACACATTTAAAACCTTAGACACAAGTTATAAAAACCCAAAATATGTTCACCAAAATTTCAAACTTTTTAATCAGAATTTTTGTTATGCATTGAATTTTGGTATAATAAAGTGCAAGCTTGAAGTTACTAAAAAATTCCGTTGATTTTGATAAACAAGTTTGAAATTTTGGTAATTTTTTTTTGTTTAATTGTTGTACAATGTTTGGAATTTGGATTTATATGGTTTTTATTATACAACGGTATACTAATTAACACAAAACAATTAAATGAAAAATAAAAATATAAAAACTGGTCAAGATGTTGGGGTGCTGTTTTTTTTTTACCGGTACGTATATAACTATAGTTTAATTTTATAGCTTTGCCATAGGAGTATACAAAATTTACATTTTCGTTTTTCGTCTTAATTTCATTACATATTTTCAATAAAAAAATAAAAGAAATTCACTACTCAAATGCCAAAATGTCAGTTATGTAATTGCAGCTGACTGCAATCAAGTTCTAAATGTTTTCACAAGCTGCGCATAATTTTAATACACAATGACTAAGCAGTTTGAAATATAAACAAGAAATGCAAAAATATATTAAATAGTGTAAAGGACTAGGAAACATGAACAACGTTTTCAGTTTTAGTTTTCGTTTTTTTTTTTTTTTTTTTGTGGGTTTGGAAGGATCGATCAAAGCGCCATAAACCTAGTTTTTTTTTTACAAATTTTTACGCTAAATCGACTGGCCTATAGAGGGCAGCTGAAAGTTTAATTGCTGCAAGCACGTAAAAATACATTTTATAATTTCAATTTCAGTTACTGGAAGCAGCCATCGGTATGCAACACAATATTCTGCAATTTGTTGCATCAGTCTACTTTTATAAACACTCCTCCCGTTGTTCGGCTGAAACAAATAACCAAAAGGAAACAGAGTTTATAGCAGCAATCTGCGTCTTTAGCGCACATTAGTGTTAAACAATAAATAAAATAGTTACTAAACTTATTTCCATGTATGTTTGTCTTAAAATTGTCGTTATCAGAATGCGCACTCTTTTTATTTTATATATATATACATATGCATGTATGCATACATACATATACATTTATATTTTCTTATATGTTAATACTGCATTCCTTAAACAATTGCTTACTGCGTTTTTTTTCGTTAAAAGATAACTGTTTAACAACTTTTTGCTGCACTTCTTCCTTTACATATTTATATGTATGTATTTTAATCATAATCTCCGCTCTTTATATTTCTTAAGAAGTTAGTAGAATATTTTGGCTTTAAGTTGTATTTTTTTGTTTACTTTTTCTTGTTTTTTGTTTTTCTTTGTTTGTTTTAATACACAATCAATGATTAGTAAATTTTTGATTTGTGTGGTTTTTTCACTTAACGGGTACAAAACTTTATTTTCGATATTTCATTGTATATTATTTATAATGCGATATATATGATTTGAGTATATATATATATAAGTATATGTATTGTGAACAGGAAGATATAGTTATTCAATTTAAATTACTGATACATATTTATTTGTTGTATATACTTATATCGTGTGAACTTAATTGGTAAATGATTTTTTCTCCTTTTTACTTGCGCTTTTGACGCATTGTTACAAACTAACAAAAAAATTTTATTACATAACAAAACAGAAGATGCTGACAACAAACAAAAGAAATAGTCTTCGATGCGACATGATGATATGAAATGGAATTGTTACATATGTATGTATGTATATTAAAAAGCGATAGAGTTGTGACGGATTGCGGCCAGAGAGGTATGTAATTGCTTTTCTATTTTCTTTTGATTACTTTACTGGATTTAGAACGTTGCAGCTGCTAGAGGATGCAGGCAATTTTAAAAATTTATTGTTTTACTTTGCTCAAAAGCATACATTTTCTTTTTGATTTTAAATTTGTATGCTCTTTGCGCAGCAGCAACTTTCTATTTTGAAAATTCCACGATTCACGCCTTTAAATTAGTGCAGATAGCGATAACAGATGCGAAACCTTGGAACAGAAGATTATATGTAATGAAATTGATAAAAAGAAATAAATAACAACTACTGCTGCTCTCAAAGTCAATGCTTAGTGTAATACAGCCTAGTTGGCCCTGTCCTACTTTCTTCACTTTGACGAGGCTGCACTCGATGCTCCTCCGCTGCTTGTCTGCGTTTGCGCTGACGCTGGCGTTGTTCTTGTCCCTGTCATTGTCGTTTGCAACTGTTGTGTACGTTGCTGCTGTTGCTGCTGTTGCTGTTGCTGTTGCTTCAGTTTGTCAAATATTTGCAGCTTCGACTTAA